TGAAATATATAAAATGAAAAAAAATGATGAAAGCTTAAGAAAATGTCTGAGAACTTACGAATTTCTCAAGAATTCCATTTAGGAACATTTGTACAACTTCCTAGAAGGTAAGACATTTCATAAGGAGTTTGTAGAAATGTTCCTAGATGCAATTCTTGAGAAAAGTTCTCATATGTTATCTTAAGAACATTTTGTTTTTGTTTTTGTTTTTTTTAAGGACATGTACAGAGACGACCTAGGGCTGGATCAAAAAATAAATAAAATAAGAAAGAAGTGATCTTACAAAATTTCTAAGCTTCTTTCTTATTTTCGTGGATCCAGCAGCAGGACATCCGTCCATTCATGTTCTTTCAGTGCAGCTGCGGCTCATGAGCAGAAAAAAACCTGCATCTTTCTGAAAGCACGTCAGCACTGCAACATGAAACTTTCATCCTCGTTACACCAATCTGCATCTCACGCATTGAGAGTCTGTGCTCTTCTTATTCAGATGCACTGCATTAGCGTCCCTCTGTGTCTGTGTTTGCACGTGTACCTCTGTGACGATGCTGCGTGTAACATTAGTGTCAGGAGCGTAGAGGATCTTTCCCAGCAGGAACGGCCGGAAGGTCCTCCAGAGCAGACGCAGGCTGGAAGTGCTCTCCAGCGTGTCCGTCAGGTTTTTACAGAACTCACCTGCAGAGACAGACGAGTGCATGTGCATGAATAAAACACAACTGCAAGAACAGGTTCAGATGCAGACTCAAGAAGCACATGAGATGGGAGTGACTGACGCGTGAGAAACGGTGAGGATTGTTCATGTTTTTGATATTTTCATATTTCATATGCTCTATGTGTGTTGATCAGGGTTCATAATAATTATAACTATATAAACATATAATAACAATGACTTAAATAACTATATAACTTTGTAATGTAAAAATAGTTATATAAACTATATTAAAATTTGGTCATCATATAAAGTGATTGTGCCTCTTTAGGAGAAATAATTTGTATTCATATTACATATACAATGTCTTTTTGAACATTTTGAAAATTATCACAATGTTGTGATAGAATTCAGAGAATATATTGTGAGAATAGATCAGAGAATATTCAAAAATATCTTCATTTGCGTTCTGTGTTTTGTGCCATTTGGAACAATATGAAGGTGAGTAAATGATGAGAGTACATGCTATTTGTATTCAATCATGGTTATAGTTAATTAAAAATAAACCATAACAAAAATCAATCAATCAATTGAAATCAACCAATACTACAAAAAAGTGGAATTTATTTAATTGTATTTAGTAAAATAACTAAAACAAAATTATATATATATATATATATATATATATATATACACATACATACACACACATATATACAGTGAAAGTCTGTGAACCCTTCAGAATTGTCTATATTTCTGCATTAATATGACCCAAAAGATCATCAGATTTTCACACAAGTCCTGAAAGTTCACAAAGAGAATCCAATCAAACAAATGAGACAAAAATATACACTTTGTCATTTATTGACTGAGAAAAATGATCCAGTGTTACACATCTGTCAGTGGCAAAAGTTTGTGAATCTTAGCTTTCAGTATCTGGTCTGACCCTCTTTTGCAGCAATAACTGCAGGCTCAGACTGATGTCCTGACATTTTCCTTTAGAATTTGCTGGTATAATTCAAGATTTAATTATCCCATCAATGATGGCAAGCCGTCCTGGACCAGATGCAGCAAAACAGGCCCAAACCATGATCCTTCCACCACCATGATAAGGTTCTTATGCTGGAATTCAGTGTTTCCCTTTCTCCAAATATAACGCTTCTCATTTAAACCAAACACTTCTATTTTGGTCTCATCCGTCCATTAAACATTTCTCCAACAGCCCTCTGGCTTTGTCCACATGATCTTTAGCAAACTGCAGACAGGCAGCAATGCTCTTTTTGGAGAGCCGTGGCTTTCTCCTTGCAGCTCTCTGATTGTTCAGTGTTCTCCTGATGGTGGTCTCATGAACATTAGCCAATGTGAGAAAGGACTTTAGTTGCTCAGAAGTTTCCCTGGATTCCTTTGCGACCTTGTGGACTATTACATGTCTTGCTTTTAGAGTGATCTTCGTTGGCCGACCACTTCTGGGGAGGATAACAGTTGTCTTGAATATCCTCCATTTGTACACAATCTGTCTGACTGTGGATTTGTGGAGTCCAAACTCTTTAGAGATGACGTTTTAACCTTTTCCAGCCTGATGAGCAACAACAACTCTTTTTCTGAGGTCCTCAGATATCTCCTTTGTCCGTGCCATGATTCACTTCCACAAACATGATCAGACTTTGATAGATCCCTGCTCTCTAAATAAAACAGGGCAGGCAATGACACCTGACAGTCAAAACACCTCTGAACTGATGGACTCTAATTTCTCCTTCAAATTAACTTCTAATCCTAGAGATTCACATACTTTTGCCACTCACAGATATGTAATATTGGATCATTTTCCAGACAATTAAAAAAAAATAATAATTGTCTATATAGCTGTTTCATGCACAGACGTGTTGAACAAGACAGCATGTCCTGGCATTTGACATACAGTATTTTGAAATAATCTATCTATCTATCTATCTATCTATCTATCTATCTATCTATCTATCTATCTATCTATCTATCTACATCTATATATACAGGGGTGCACATAAGTGGCAGGGGCGCCTGCAGGATTTGTTCCGAGGGTACGCACAAAGGTTTTTTTTTGTTTTTTTTGGGGGGGGGGTCTTTTTTCCCCTTTTCCCATAAAAAGCTTATACTACTGTTTCAGCTATTAAAATAGTTCAGTTTTGTATGTAATGGCAAAAATTATTATATTTCGTTTTGTCTTTTTATAAAGTTCACTTTTTTTGTTTCGTTAAATGTAAGTTTTTTTTTTTTTTTTTGAAGTAAGGACCAAGCGGCCAGCGGCAGACAGTGAGTTGATCATAGCCTATGTTTGATCAATTTAGCCTTCTCAAATCATCACGATTTGCCTAAAATAAAATCTCTATATAAAACAGTTCAAGCATATCACAATGTTAGTTTAAATGTTTAACCTAGATAAATGTGCGCTGTTAGATGCATATCCAATCGTTTGTGCGGAGAGTGGAAGCTGAAGCACGCTTTGCAGGACACGGAGGCGCCAGCGAGGTCACTTACATTTTTTTCTAACAGTGGAAAGAGCTTAAAATACGCAGTCATTTTTGCTCATAAAGGTAAGTGTAATACATCATTCTAAACTGTAAAGGGTCTACTTTTATTTGTGTGCACTCACAATATCAACAAAACGTTGTGCTTTTATAAAATAAAGAAAACAAACGCTTTCTGCCGTCTCGGTCTTGAAGAGGAGCACTTCACAATGATGAACTTAAACTCAGCTAATTGTCTCACAGGAATGATACAAATATATAGAAAGCTTTAAAATACTACTTTAAAACGAAATAATTCAAATTGAAAATAGAAACTATTTCATTATGTAATCCCTAAATATGAATTTCTCTCTAAAGGCACATCCAATGAGGAGATGGCTAGTCATTTTTTTCATCACCATAATTGATGGATGTCTAAAATATAAAAAATAATAAAAAGCCTAAAACATGCCCGATTATAATTTGCGTTTTATTTTATAATTCTGTAAAATTAAAAAAAATAAAACACAAATTATAATGGCATATGTAAAACTTTGTACTATAATTGTATAGCTGCTTATTTATAGTATTATAGTATTATAGTATAACTTTACTATAAAATAATTGTATTTTTATTTAATACTCCCTTTTTATTTTAAAATATAATAGTATTATCACACTTTATTACTTTGTTTATTACTTGATTTAAAACAAAAGTGCAAAAGTATTATTATCAACTATTATACATGTAAATAATATAGATATTATATGATACATGACTCCTTGGCCACTGGTGTTGTGCCAACAGCACTTAAAACCGCTGCTTTCACTCCCATATTAATAAAAAAGCAAAACAGTGATTCGAACAATCTCAGTAACTTTTGTCCAATTTCTCATCTTCCATTTATTGCAAAATTTTAGAGGGTGTTGTTTCGTCTCAATTACACAACCATTTAATGGTCAATAATCTGTTTGAGTCCCTTCAATCTGGGTTTAGGAAACTGCACAGCACTGAAACAGCCTTGGTTAAAGTTGTTAATGACTTACTGTTAGCTTCTGATTCTGGATTTCTCTCGATTCTCATCTTACTCGATCTTAGTTCAGCCTTCGACACTGTTGACTACATGCTTTTACTAAATCGACTGGAAACTGTCTTTGGTGTATCTGGAACTGCACTAGATTGGTTTAGGTCATATTTTACGGGTCGCAGTCAATTTGTCTTTATGGATGGTTTCAGATCTGATGTGGATCCTGTTTGTACTGGTGTCCCACAGGGCTCAGTCCTTGGTCCCCTGCTTTTTAGCATTTATATTTATCCTCTTGGTCAGCTATTAAGATCCTTTAACCTCAGCTACCACTTCTATGCTGATGATACTCCCAGATGTATATACATTCTCAACCTGGTCAATTTGTGGATGTCCCTCATCTTTCGATCCCGACGAAAGACTGTAATCAAATCAGCTCTCCTCCAAACTACATGAGCTTTCATTAGACTGAACATCAGCACAAACAAAATAACAAAATCACCCAACAAACACAAACACTCAGTCTTATTTTAGTTGCCTATTATTTATATACTGTAGTATTTATTAATAATCTAAATTAGCATTTTCATTTTTCAGTTTTTTAAGTTTGCATTTTAATAATTCTGTTTGTGCTTTTAGTTTTTTTTTTGTTAAATATAAATATTTGCAGCTTTATTTCAATTAATGAAAATGATGCAAGTTTAGAACTGAAACTACAAAAAAAATCATAATAAGTCTTAGCAAGATCTGCATGTTATTTAAATATACAGTATAACATAATTAATATATGCATTGTGTATATCAGAGTGAACCAGTTTTTTTACAGTTGCAGTGTAAAACATATTATTATTATTA